ATGCCAGAGGTGCCCCTGGGATGCGCATTTTTTTCCGCGGAGCCTGCGCTGCCCGACGCAGGGGTTGGCAGCAGCGCGCGCGGCGCGATGGCGGTTCCTCGCGCAGTTGGGGGAACTCCGACGCGTAGAAGTGGCAGTCCTCGGCGCAGACGCAGGGAGCTTGGAAGAAACACAAGCACTGGAACTGGCAGGGGGAGGAGGGCGCGGACTTGAAACGGCAGAAGTGTTGGCAAAAGGAGCCCGACACAGAGGAGCGAGGCCGCGAGCAGATGTCGGGGAACCGAGCGGAAGAGCAGGGGTGGCAAACGGCCGGAGACCGGGAGCTGGGCCAGACGGAGTGCGGCCGCGAGAAGAAACTGGAGCAGAGCGCGCAGGAGGTGCAGCGGCAGACGGAACCAGAGCCGGGGCTCAAGCAAGAGGGCCGCGGCCCCGAGCAGGACTCGCCCGACACGGAGAAGAACGAGGGCCAAACGGACACCGTCGACAAGGGGAGAAAGGAGCGGGACCCGTACGACCGCGTGTCAGGTCGCACTGCGTAGACCCAAAGGTGGCCGTCGCGGAATGTTGCGCGCGTTCAGGCTGGCGCTGGGCCCGCCCTCGCCCTGCCCGAACGCGCCCCGCCCTAGCGTGGCGCCCATGGTTTGCGCCGCGCAAGGCGACGCTCTCCAGGATGCCCGGGGGGAGGCCGATTCCGACGCCGAGGTGCAGTCGTGGCTCGACGAGGCGGCATGGATGCAGAGCAGGACGAAGAACGGGCATCTCGTCTGGTTTCACATCGACATGCAGGAATCGCTCTGGCAGAAGCCCACCGCTGCAGAGCTCGCCGAGCAGAAAACGAAGGGCGAAATCGTCGTGGAGGCGGCGAAAGTCTTTCTCCGGGGATGGGGGTGCGCAGGGGGCGGCCCTGGCGGGGCGCGTCGGCGTGAGCGAGCAGGAGGTGAAGGACCAGTGCGCTGTTCTGCAGGGGGTGGCGACGCGCAGGGAGCTGCGGCAGAACCAGCGACGTCAGAAGTTGCTCGGGATCTGACCCGCGCGCAGGTGAGACGGCCGGAGTGGCTGCGAGAGGTGGGGCGCTCGGTGGGGTAGGAGGA